AGACTAGCGACCAGGATGCTATCAAGGATCAAGCGAAAGACGAGATAAGATGTAAAGATGCTAAAAGAAAGGGCCTAGGGTTGAGATTCATGGTCAGGGGTTTCAAAGATTCGACCTTGGGTTGAAAACTTTAAATCGACTCACTTTGTGAGGATCTCTAAGCCTTGAAAACTAAACAAGATCTATCTGTGGCTTTCGGTATAGATCACTCCTTCATCCCCTCCTCCAAACCCATGGCTTTTGGTGGAAAGAGAGGTCAAAGGGCATGGAAAACATATTTCAAATGAGTGGCTTAACTAGTCCCACAAACTTCCATGGCTTTTGGGAAGGGGTAACTAGTCTCTAGGGTGTGATCTTCCGAGGCTCCTGAATCCTGTCAAGGTAAAGAACCTCTCGGATCATGAAGCTCTTGGCGTGAGAGTCTTCAAGCATTGAGATCTCAACACCCTAGAAGAGATAGCCGTTGAAAACACTTAGAAAAACCCCAAGATCGAAACCCTTTAGACCCCTTAATCCTCTCAACCCCGAACCCAAATAAACTACTCACTACACATAAGGTAAATCAAGCAAGGCACGTAAAAGGAAACGATGAACATGAAAAGAAAACTAGATTAAGATGATAACGATTCGATTACAAAGCTTAAGAAAAAAAACTCAAGTTCGACGATGGTGTTCTTTTTCAAAACCAGAGAGAAAACATACAGAAAAAGATAAGGATTGAAAGTTGTGTAGGAAAAGGACGTCGCCGCCTTCCCAAAATGGCCAAAACAAGCTGATGGTCCCCCCTTCGCTAGCGGCCAAAAGTGGTTGAAAGGACAGCGATCGACTCCGGGATCGAGCGGTTCTCTCGATCATATCCGGATCTGGGTCTCGATCATCATCGGCGAATTGAGTGTTGCATCCGATCTCAGTATCGATCTTCGGTTGGATCGGGTGGTGTACTCGATCTGGCTCTCGCTCTGCATGGCGTCATTTACGTCTGTACCGTTTGATCGACTGCTTCACTCGATCTTTGTCTCGAACATTCTCCTTGGATCGCCTGGTTGGCTCGATCTTCTGGTCGACCACATCACAGATCGACCGGCCATGCTCGATCTGCTCCTCGATCTCTGATCCTTAGCAAATATCCGAGCTCCCACGAACTGCTACATCAGCCTCAACATGGCCACGAACCTCCACGACTCCAAAGCAGCCAGAAACAACCTAAACGTGATGCAAAATGCAAGGAACATGCGTATGCTGGTGCAAGAATGCTCTAGGACTCTAAGTGATGCAATCTAACCTAAAACGTGATACAAATGCATGAAAAGCTAACTAATGAGTATGCAAAATGTATGTAATATGCAGTAACATCAGACTGCGAGCTCCTCCTCTTTCATTAATTGCTATACGGGGGCTTTCTCGTTGGGAGCCGCGTATCGATTTGATTCTCCAAGGGGTTGGGAATTTGACACATTGGTGGTATGTGGAAGCCACAGCTTTCATAGCATAGAGCCACGGTCTGCCGAGAATGGCGTTGAATGGAGCTGGCCGATCTACGACCACGAAGTCAGTTGTTTTTATGACTCCGCCGGCCTTAACTAAAAGCTGGATGGTTCCCAATGAGTAGGTGGTTTCTCCTGCGAAGCCGGTGAGTGGAGTTAGATCGTTCGACAACATGGATTTTTGGTATCCCATGCGTCTAAAAGCGTCGAAGAACAACACGGCTACCGAGCTTTCGGTATCAATCATGACCCTTGTGAGGTCGAATCTGCCTACAGCGATCTGTATGACGAGTGCATCGTCATGTGGTTTATCTAGAGTCGGCGTTTCGCTTTCTAGAAAGCTGATTTGGTGGTCGGGTCCGTCCAGGGGTAGGTTTACCGTGGCGAACTCTACCTTGCGTTGATATGCCTTGATCGAGGTGATTGAGTCTCGGCACATCTTCGAGCCTCCGCAGATAAAGTCGATTCGCTTCATTGTGGGTAGCTCCCCCTCTCCCTCGAAGTAGTGAGCGATGCGTGAGCTAGAGCTCGCTTGAGATCGAGGTGTCGGGATTTGGGTGATGCTTGGTTTTGACGAGCTTCTGAGTAGTTTTAACACGTGTTCTCCCGCGCATAGGTTTAGCTCTCTGAAGATCATGTCGATTCTTTTTCTCGCTGATGGAGGGGAGTCAGGGGTTTGAACTTCGATCTCGACTTTGCGATCTCGTTTTTGAGGCGCTTTATCGGTGTCTGCTTCCCTGTTTCGTATCGAGGTCTTTTTGGGTTTTTTGCTTTTTGCCTCGGCCTTCTCGGCTTTTTCCTTGGCGATCTTTTTCGCTGGGATCCTAGCTCGAGTTCCACATTCTTCAGTGGAATGTCCGTTCTTTTTGTGGTGCTCGCAGTATTTGCTTTGGTCGAAGCTCGACTCTTTTTCAGGGGACGAGCTCTCTATAGCATACGAAGTCTAACCTTTGCCCTGCGTCTCCCTTTTGGGAGGTGTAACGTTAGCTTTCTTCCACCCGGAGGGTGCGAGGTGGAGCTGTGAGTTGCGGAATTTTGCTTCGCAGGCTGCTGTTTCGCCCTCGAAGTTGGCGTATATGGACGCGCGATGGAGCGCGTCATCGAGTTAGTCCGTAGGTCGGAGCGTGAGCTCTGTCTTGAACCTCGACTGGTACCATAGGTTGGTTCGCAGGGCGAGCATGGCTACTGCTTCGTTAAGGTTAGCAATTTTTGCTTTGATTGCTTTGAATTTAGCAATGTATGATCGAAGCGGTTCGTCTGGAGCTTGGACTAGCTTCCAGAGATCGGCTTCGGTTTCTTGTTTTTCGATGAATATCGAATACTGTTTGAGGAAGGCTACTGCGAGCTCGTTGAAATTCAAGATCGAATTATCTTCCAGTGTCGCGAACCATTCCTGAGCTGGTCCGACTAGGTTTTCGGCGAATAGCCTGCAATATCCTGCTTCTTTCTCTTCTGGGGATTAATTGGCTCGGATAGCTGCGAGGTTGAAGAGTCGGATATGGGCTTTAGGGTCGCTGTTCTCAGCGTACTCCGGGACACTTACTTTGGTAGTGTCTCGGAGGTACATGTGCATGATCGAGTAGGTGAACGGGATCCGTTGGGTCTCGTGAATTACTCGATCGATGTCAGGAGCTGAGCTTGTTGCTTGATGGAACATGGAGTTCATCTGCCGAATATCATAGTCGGTTTGATTCTGGAATCTTTCAAAAGATTCGCAGTCGACTAGGTTTCTTGGGCCGACGCCAAGGTGGTTAGCCCGAATCAGATCATTTAGAATCTGGGTTCCGAGCTGTTGGTGAACGAACCCTATGGGTTGTTCGCAGATCCCGCTTGGAAGTCTCGGGCTCGAGGTCATGTTCGGTTGTTGGCCGAACTGGGGTGGTGTTTGAGAGCTCGAGGCGAAGGCCGAGGATCCAAGCCATCTCTGTCATGGTGGCTCGGTTCCAGGTGGTCTTAAAGGTGGAGATGGATATCTCGTGCTGAGACGAGATCCCATTTCGGGTATTCCTGGTGTCGGCACGGGTGGAGATAGATATCTGATTGCGGGACGATGTCCCATCTCTGGTATTCCTGGAGCCCGAATATCCGTGGCGATTGGTGTCTGGTTCACCGCGGGGGCAAAGTTCGGTGGACCTGGAGCACGCAGAGGTGTCACGTACGGTCCGGGTAGATTACTCGGAGCAGGGATCGACGAAAAGTCGAGCTGAGTCCGTAGAGTTGGACTCGCAGCGGATCAAGCTGCTGCTTGACGCCGTTCCTGCCTTTCTAATCTGACGTTCTCCTAGAAGCTGCGGGTATCGGCAGGGAAACAGTAGCTGCTCAGCTCTGTGATGCCGAAGCTGTAGGTGGATTCTCAGATCGCACCCAGGTTCGAGAGGGAGGCCTCTCGACTGTTTATGACTGGTTACTCGTTGTACCCGGTGGGGTGACGAGGTTGATCACGATCGGTTCCACACGGCTGGGAACGTTATAGTTCGTGCCGGTGGTGTCGACGAGGGTCGTAACCCTAGGTTCATTTCCGCCGGCTGTCTGGTTGACATTGCCGATCGGGGTTACTTGATCTGGAGAGATTGGAATCGGTGAGACGATTCCCGAGGTTTGTTGAGTTGAATCCATTTTGGTTTCAGCTGGCCTAGGATCTGCTCTTGAGTAAGAGAAATCTATATATCTATCCTCACAGACGGCGCCAAAATATGGATGCCGAAATCCACACTAAGAAATTTATATGTATTTGTAAGGAAAGAACTTTAAAAGATTAAGTGCTAGACACTCTCGAACAAATTGACAATATAAGCTAGCACTAACTGAAATAATGACTTTGTATTAATCAGTCGAATGAAACGGTTACAAGAATTTCAATGAAGAAGATGAACTGAAAAGAGCTCAGGAGCAGTTACAGTGTTTTCGAGTGTAAAAAGTGTGTAAAGAGATCAAGCCGAAGGTCCCCTGAACTAAGCTGTTCTCCTTCTTTATATAGCTCGCCTCATCGAGCTTCGAGCTCCAACGTGTATCTCGGCCACGTGCAGCAGCCTCAGCCGGAAATCTCGTCACGTACAGCAACTTCCTCTGCGATTTTCGGACTCGTTTGAACTGGCTCAGATTCTTCTTTGTTTCTCGAGATTTGGTCAAGCTAGAGCTCGATCCCATCGAATAGAGTGTCTTGTTACTCAGGATCAGACTGTTAAGAGATAAATTGGCTTGGACCATAAGATTGAAGTCCAGCTTTTTTGGCTTAGTTCAAACCTGCTCGTTAAATTTGAATTAGCCGAATTTATAGTGCCAAATCCAACTCTAATAATAATGAATAAAGATAATTTAATTTTTTTTATCTTGTCAAAATATACCAATCTTTCAAAATATTTTTTAATTGTAAATTTATTAAATGTCTTAGTTGTAATATCTCCATCTGCAGTGCCATTTATCGTGAGACATGATTCTAAAGTTATATATAAAAGAATAATAATATATATGGGCTAAATATCTCTATTCGGTACTAAGAAATCGTTTATTAGATTTTACAGCCTAAATTGGCACATCACCATAATGGCTCGAACTCTCCAGATCATTATTTACAGGACCCACCTGGTTGTGACGTGATAGACATGTCATCGGAGGTGACTTGGGTAAATTAGAACCATTTGAATTTATTTTAATACCGCTTTCTTTCACTTCAGACTCTCCACGTAACCCCGATAAAATCTTCTGCACGGCGGTTATAACTTTTCCCAGATCCTTCCTTCAAATCTTCTGCACGGCGGTTCGATTCGGAGATCGCTGTTGTTTACCAATGGCCGGAAAACTCATGCACGCTCTTCACTACGAGTCTTACGGCGGTGGCGCCGCCGCTTTGAAGGTTAATATCTTTTTTTCAATTTCCGTTCGTCCTCGCAATTCTCTGAGCCGCTGTGTTATTTTCTAATTTGATTCTCTTGTTTCTCGATACAGTCTCGATTTCGTTGATGCTTTTACTTTATAGGGGAGATGTATGCATACGAGCAATGATTTTAAAGAATTCGTTGTCTCATTTTGAAATGAGATGAAAAGCTTATGAGGGTAGACTAAATTTTGAGAGATGGATTATTTAAAAAAAATCATATATCACTCTCTCTCTTTCTATCACCCTGATTTAGTTGCAGAGATCAGTAGATTATCTTCCTCATTTGTATTGAGAATGAATGAATGTTGTCTTAGTTTCACTATCTTTCTTCATCTTCCATACTTGTATAGTCTCTAACTGATGCTGTTTGGGTTCTAACATTGATATATTTCTTCTAGGATCTTATGAAAAAGGCATTTAGGTTTTGATGTGGTAGATAGTATTATTTGGTCCTAGTTTTTAACCAGGCTTTAATTTGGCTTACATGTGATAGTTTTTTGGTAGTGGAAGTGCACCAAATGATTAAGATTATAATGTGAAGTTTAGTTCTCTCATGTGTGCATTTGTATTTTATTTAAAGACAGCAACATTATCAGATTGTGTAGTGTTTGTGACATTCTTGCTTTCTTTGTTGATGCTTTCTCATGATCATGTTTTGATGATTCGTACGTGCTCTCTTTCTGATATGTTTTCAGAATGTCCAAGTTCCAGTTCCATCGCCAAAGAGAAACGAGGTTTTACTAAAATTAGAAGCTACTAGTCTTAATCCTATTGATTGGAAAATCCAGAAAGGAATGATCCGGCCTTTTTTTCCTCGCAAGTTCCCCTGCATTCCCGGTACGATTTGTTCACTACTCTGATGTGGGTATTCTTCTAAGCATATGGGGGATAATCTTTAATCTTGAAATGATGAAAGAAAAGGGTTCTCTTGCTTAGATGGATTTGGATTTTGTATTGTATAACTTGTGTTCTTGCTTCATAGACATATAAGGTTTCTAATATTTGGGAATAATCTTGAAATAGTAAAAGAAAAGGGTTCTTTTGCTTATATGATTTTGTGGTTTTTCTTTTGTTTTGTATAACTTGTGTTACATATCAGATTTCTAAATTTTAGGGATAGTTGAAATGATAAATGAAAAAGATTCGTCTACTTAATGGTTTTGGGTTTTGTTTTGGTCTTTGAATAACTTGTGTTCTTGCTTCATAGACACATAAGATTTCTATAATTTGGCGGAGTCTTTGATAACTTTGTCTTGAACAGCTACTGATGTTGCTGGAGAGATCATTGAGGTTGGATCAGGAGTCAAGAATTTCAAGGCTGGTGACAAAGTTGTATCGGTTCTAAGCCATCTAGTATGTTGTTTTTTCTCTTACAGACAAGCTATTGCCATTGTAGTTGTAGTGTTTACTCCAAATTCCTTGGAACATGAAAAAAAGTTATTAATTGTTTGGGTTGTTTTCAGTCTGGAGGTGGACTTGCTGAGTTCGCCGTAGCAAGCGAGAAGCTAACAGTGAAAAGGCCTCAAGAAGTAGGACCAGCTGAAGCAGCCGCTTTACCTGTGGCGGGTTTAACCGCTCTCCAGGCGCTAATTAATCCCGCGGGGTTGAAGCTTGATGGTACTGGCAAGCGGGCGAACATCCTGGTCACAGCAGCATCTGGTGGTGTTGGGCACTACGCTGTCCAGCTTGCAAAGCTTGGGAATGCTCATGTAACCGCCACGTGCGGGGCTCGGAACATAGACTTTGTAAAATCTTTAGGAGCGGATGAGGTTCTTGATTACAAGACTCCCGAAGGAGCCGCCCTCAAGAGTCCGTCCGGTAAGAAATACGACGCTGTGGTACATTGCGCAAATGGGATACCGTTTTCGACATTCGAACCGAATTTGGCAGAAAACGGGAAGGTGATAGACATCACGCCGGGGCCGAGCGCGATGTGGACTTACGCGGTTAAGAAAATAACCATGTCAAAGAAGCAATTGATTCCGTTTTTGTTTATCCCGAAAGCTGATAATTTGGAGTTTTTGGTGAATCTGGTGAAAGAAGGGAAAGTGAAGACTGTGATTGACTCGAAGCATCCTCTGAGCAAGGCAGAGGATGCTTGGGCCAAAAGTATCGATGGTCATGCTACTGGGAAGATCATTGTTGAGCCATGGTAGCAGTTTGCTTTGTTGACTGACTTCTACGTTCTAGAAGCTTATAGTTCGATTCTCGTTTACAACATTGCTTTCTCTTGTTTTGTTTTACTATGTAATACACAACTATGTCAAAGAGTTTTAAAATAATAACAAACAGATTGAATGGAAGCGAGAGTTCTTCTTCTCCATGTTGGTATATAATTATTTGTTGAAAATTTAAATATGGCTTCATAAAACTGGGCATACATCAATGAAGTTGTTCCTTTCTCGTCGTAGCTAATCAGTTGTAACGATCACAACTGATCAGCGGACTGAAATTTTTGATCACGTGATACAGTGTTATCATGACATGTGGACGGTACAGATAAATAAAGAAATACATGGCTTAGATCAAATAAAGCATTGCCGAGACCTTTATTAGGAAGGAGGAGAGAAAAAGAAGATGTCATCATAAACTTGTTGTAATCAATTCATCTTCTTCATCTCTAATTCTTTCGTTTGGATTCTTAAAGTTTGTGAATCGTTGTTTCATGAACATCGGATTAATTGAAATATAATACAAGTATTTCATTGAGTATAATTTTATGGTGTCAAAGGTATCATACAAAGGTTCTTCCTCAGAACAATGGTGGTGGAAATGAGATCACAAGCGGCAAGTGGCGAGGGTCATGATTCGGTGAACTCGCGACTTGATCAGATGCTAAGGCGTCAACGCTGGAAAATCGTGTGACAGAGCAGAACGCGACGATTGCCAAAACTACAACGGATCTTTTTGAAGCGATATGCATATTGGCGCTTCAGCGAGCTAATTCTCCAGTCCTGGCTCAATCTAGTCCACAGATTAACATCGAGAAAGGACAAAATTTAAGATCCGGTAACCCTATCAACTGTGCTGGAATCGCTAGGTTATCTAAAATGATTTTTCCTAGATTTAACAGCACTAGGTTGAAAGAATGACTCTATAAGATAGAACAGTTTTTTACCATAGATTATATTCCCAAAGAAATTAAAGTAACTGTCGTTTCAGTTCATTTGGATGATCTTGCGGCTACTTGGCACCGATTGTTGGTCCAAGATGAAATTGAAAATCTGGATTTACAAGATTGGAACTGTTACAAAACGTTGTTGAAGAAAAGATGTGATGACGTCTGGGCTGATCCAATAATAGAGTTGAAGAAGTTACGAGAGACATATGGTATTTTTGAATACGACAACAAGTTCGAGTTGATTCGTACGCGTGTGAAGCTTTCTGAGGAGTACTTGATCAGTAATTACTCTAGCTTGCGTACTGATACTCAAATGCACGTACATATGTTTCAACCTCAAACAATCCGTCAATGCCTGATGCTAGGAAGATTGTATGAAACGGCACATCCTCAGAAACCTTCAGGTTCATCATGGTCCTCGGCTAAGTCTCTCTCATCAGGAAAAGGGATTTTAACCACCACAAAGCAAGAGAATAAGTGGCGTAAGCAAACAGTGACTGATAAGGGGAACGATCAAACTTATCAGCCAAAAAAGTTCTTGTCATTCTGAGGAAATGAATGACAGAATATCTAAGGGTGTATGCTTCCAGTCAATGTCTCTGAAGAAAATATCAAGCAGCTGCACTTGATTGAAACCATGATGAGGATAATCCCTTTGATAAGACTTGAATCTCAGCCAAAACGCTTTAAAAGCTTCAGTAGGACCTTGGGAGAATGATGCAATTTTCGTCCTCAGGTCCTCTGACCTAGCATTATCATAGAAGTTGTTCAGAAAAGTATTCTTGTTGTCCTCCCAAGTGGTCAGCGAACCAGGCTATAGTTGCTTCAACCAATATGCAGCAGCTCCTCCAAGTGAGTAAGAGAACAGCTTGCAAAACAGAAAGTCATAGCTAACTCCATTAGCTTTGTCACTTGAAGCCAAATCTTCAAACCTCTCAATATGATCCATATGATGCTCATGAGGTAAGCCATGGAAAGAATGCTGTCCCACCAGCTGATAATAAGCAGGTTTGAGTTCAAAATCATTCCTCTGGAAAGCAGGAGGGCGGATTGCAGCTCTATTGGCATAGAACTGGTCAGGTCTGTTGTAATCTACTAGAGTCCTCTGAACGAAATGCCCAGCGGCGTTGTTTGCAGCAACAGGAGCTCCAACGTCTTGGACCACTTGTTGAACCACCTGTTCAACCATACACATTCCCATCTTGATCCAGTCTCTGCCCTTCTTCATTCCTCCTGTTTCCCTCTCTGTCAACCAAGCGACCTTCTGCATCTTTAACCAAGATCAGTGGATTGACCATTGTAGATTGCTTCTTAGCATTCCTGATGGTCCTCTCCAACTTAGCTAGCTTGTCAATGCCTAAGGTTAAAAGCTCCTTCTCTTTGTTGCTTCTGGTACTGTGATTAGGCATACACCTGAAACCAGCACAAAGAAAAGTAGCAAAAGTCAGTAAACAAATAAAAACTTAGACAAAATCCTAATACTAAAAATCGATAGGCAGCTATTACTCCCCAGCAACAGCGTGAAAAACTTGATATGGCTCAGGTTTTACCCAATTATTTAACTACTGCAAGTGCACAACAAAGCAGTTGTAGCATAAAAGGTTATCGAGTCCCAAGGGAGAGAGCTTACTACACTAGCGATATATAGATTCAGATTAAGCTAAGCAGTAAATAATGAATGTAATGCAAAGTAACTAAAATTATGAAAGCAAATGATTTTGATTGATTCTAAGACTCAGAAAACTAAAAGCGTTAAGTTAGAACAATTCGCAGGTTGAATCCTAGAATGTAGAATGCATGAAATCAGGAATGAATAAGAACCGTCTTGAACATTAATCGCAAATATATAACTAATCATTTCTCATTGCAGAAGTTAACTATGTCTAAATCATAGAGTTTTAAATCTCTTTTCAAATCCTAACAACCTTAACATGCAGTAATGATCAAGTTCAATTATTCACAAAACTCCTAAGCCAAATCTCTTTGCACTAAGTCGTTTTGCTCATCTAATGCTAGATCAGGTTATCAATAATGCTCTCACATCTATTAAACAACCTAGGTTTCGAAATTCCAGATCGTGTGTCTAAAAAAATCGGTTTTAAAGCAAGCACAAATGAAGAACCAACAGATATTCCAAACAGGTAGCGATTTCTACAAACTCATCATCAAGCTTTGAAAAACCCTAACTTAACTAGCTGATTACTCAGACATGATCATGGAATCACAAAGCATAGCTGAATAAAATTGCATTGAAAGAATATAATAAAAAATAAAAGGGCTTGAAATCTTCTCCAAAAGAGTACAAGATCTGTCTCCCCAAAAGCTCTGAATAAAACTCTCTCTAAAGCTCTCTGAATTCTAAAGTCTGAGATCCAAGGCCAACAATGGCTGAAAACCTAATATATAGAAGCTAAAACATGAGCTGGAACACTTTTGTAAATAATGGAACTTCTGGGGCAAAAGTGCAAATAATCCTCCATCTTTTAAAAACAAGCCACGATCGTTCCCAGCTACGGGTGACGAGCGTCACCCTTGAGTGGTGACGAGCGTCACCCACTTCAGTATTCGCCTTCTGAGTTGCACACTTCGTGGTTGTATCTTGCAATGCTCCAAAAAGCTCCAAAATTTCCAATTATGCTCCAAACATGCTATAACCTGCAAAGACTCTAATATGACTCTAAAAAGACCAAAAAGACTCACTAAAAAGGACTTATACCATGGTTAAAAACCATGATATATCATTTGCTGAAGTGCACAACAAGATTGATGCTACAACTTGTGATTTGAATGGAAAGCTTGATGCTTTAAACAAAAGAGTTAAGTCTCTTGAGAGCAAAGGGGCTTCATCTTCAAAGACTCAAAACCAATTACTTGGAAAGAGTGAGGCTAATCCTAAAGAATTCTGCTATTTAATTGCTGAAGAGGATGAAGAGTTGAGTGATGATAAAGATGCATCTTTAGAAGATCTTGGTATGATGCTTCAAGAGCTTTTACTCCATAGGGACATGTAGGAAACTAGGCATGGGAGGGGAATGTTCTGAATGTCACCATTGATGGCCAAGAAGCAGTGGATATAATAGAATAATTTCTCTAAGGTTTGGATATAGAAGAGGAGCTTGCCTTAGAACAAGAAAGAGCTGAAAAAGAAGCAGCTGAGAAGGAAGAGGCTTAGAAAGCCTTGGTTGCAGTAAATAAGAAGCTAGACCAGAGATTTTTGAAGCGGATAAGGAGCTTGTAGAAGAATACCAAGCTATGATGTTATTTCCTAAAGAAAATCCTGATGATTTTAGAGAGCTATAAGCACGCCAAGTGGGAACTTCTTTAAGCAACAATAGGAATGGTAAAGCTGCTGAGATTCAAGCCTACAAGCCACCAATTCCTTACCGCACAATGCAATTTACAAAGGCTCAAAGAGCAGTCTACTCATAGTTCAGAAAGTATATAGAAGACGCTGACATAAAGCTTCCTCATGGTACCACATTGCTTAAAGTAAAGGATCAAATCAGGTTTCTCAAGGAAGTATTTGACAAGCTAGAGGTTGTGGAGCCAATACTTGAGAATGTGGGAGCTAATATGAAGAAGGAGCTGAAAACCTTGACCAAGCTATATAATCCAGGAAAGTTCTTGATTACTTGTGAACCTGAGATGCTAGATAAAGTAGAAGCCTTATGTGATTCAGGTTCTACAGTCAATGTGATGTCTTTCCACTTAAGCCAGACCTTGGGAATCAAAGAGCTGACGCCTTGCAAGGCATCTATCACATTTGTGGATAACACTTCTAGAAGACCACTAGGGATGGTGAAGGATTTTACTTTAAAGATTGGTAATTGCTTAATACCAACAGATTTTGTGGTTATGGAGAAGACATATTCAAGGGAGGTACCACTTCTACTAGGAACAAATTTCTTAGCTACAGCAGGCGCTCAAGTAGACTTCAAGAGAAGCTCAATTATTTTGAAGAATGTTGATGAGTTCAAGGTGTACAAGATTGTGTCACCTTCTACTGCTTTTTGTGGAACCATTGTTGAGGAAAAGAGTGAACAACAGCAACTTTCATAGCGTGTGGAGCAAGGTATGAGTTTCACAATCAGCATGTTGATGAGAGACACTCTTCTTGATGAGCCAGAAGAGAAGCTTGACACTGAGTTGAAGCTTGAGGAGTGTTTGGAAGAAGAAGAGGTCTTGATCACCAAAGAAGTGAAGCCTTTGAGCATC